GTCTGCCATGGCCATGGATGTGGACATCACCATGGCCATGGAGAGGGATGTCACCGTGGCCATGGATGTGGACATCACCGTGGCCGTGGAGAGGGACGCTGCCATGGCCATGGATGTGGACATCACGGTGGCCGTGGAGAGGGACGTCACTGTGGCCATGGATGCGGATGTCCCCAACGGCCGTGGATGGGGACATCGCCCTCTCTAGGGGTGGAGACGTCCCTGTGGCTGCTGATGGACATCCCGCTGGTCAATATGGGGCATCACCATGGCCGTGGATGGGGCCCCGTGGTGCGGCTGCATCCGGACGTGGGCGGGGAGGCCACCTTCAGATGGAGGGTCCCGGAGGGGGACGCACCACGTCAGACATCTCCCCGTGGTCCCTTGCAGTGGTGGAGTGGATCCCCACGCCCTACCGCGCCATCACCGTGGCCATCACCGGCTTTGCCTACACCCTGGGCCAGATCCTGCTGGCTGGCGTGGCCTACGCTGTCCCGCACTGGCGCTGGCTCCAGCTCGCCGTCTCCCTGCCCTTCTTCGTCTTCCTCCTCTACTCCTGGGAGGACGCTTGGGTGCCTTGGGGAAGGCCATGGGGACATGTGGGGCTCTCTCCGTGCCTCAGTTTCCCCCTCGCTGACTGCAGGTGGTTGGCTGAGTCCGCCCGTTGGCTGGTGCTCTCGGGGAAGGCCGAGAGGGCCGTGAAGGTCCTGCAGCGAGTGGCCACTCCCTGCCCTTCTTCGTCTTCCTCCTCTACTCCTGGTAGGACGCTTGGGTGCCTTGGGGAAGGCCATGGGGACATGTGGGGCTCTCTCCGTGCCTCAGTTTCCCCCTCGCTGACTGCAGGTGGTTGGCTGAGTCCGCCCGTTGGCTGGTGCTCTCGGGGAAGGCCGAGAGGGCCGTGAAGGTCCTGCAGCGAGTGGCCAGGATTAACGAGAGAAAGGAGGAAGGGGAGAAGATCACGGTGGAGGTATGGTGGTCCCACGGGCGAGGCGGGTCTTGGTTCCCCATCCCATCCCCTGCCAACCTCTCCCGATTCCGCCCATCCCAGATCCTGAGGTCCAACATGAAGGAGGAGTTGGCAGGTCTGAAATCCTCCTACACCATCTCCGACCTGGTCCGGACCCCGGTCATCCGCCACATCTTCTTCTGCCTCTCCATCGTCTGGTGGGGCTGGGGGAGTCTGGTGGGGAGGGAGGGAGGGGTGAGGGGCAGAGGGGTGGAGAGGTGGGTGGAGGGATGGATGGATGGATGGATGGATGGATGGATGGATGGATGGATGGATGGATGGAAGGGTGGTTGGGTGGATGGATGGATGGAAGGGTGGTTGGGTGGTTGGATGGATGGGTGGGTGGGTTGTTGGAAGGATGGTTGGTTGGAAGGATGGATGGATGGTTGGTTGGAAGGATGGACGGATGGTTGGGAGGATGGACAGATGGAAGGAAAGATGGAAGGATGGCTGGAAGGGTGGATGGACAGACGGTTGGAGAGTTGGCCAGATGCATGGATGGGTGGATGACGGACAGCTGGACAGACAGTCGGTGAATCCAGCCGTCCAACTGTACCACAGCCCTCTTCTCCTCCCTCTGAGCTCCCTGTCCTGTCCCATGCAACGGTGACATCCCAGGGGGGTGACGCCACCTCAAGGTCCGTGCCGCTCTCTGCCCTGCTCCAGGTTCTCCATCAGTTTCTCCTACTACGGGCTGGCCATGGACCTGCAAAACTTCGGTGTCAGCATTTACCTCATCCAGGTGATTTTTGGTGCCGTTGACTTCCCGGCCAAAGTGGTGGTGACCGTCTCCCTGAGCTACATCGGCCGGCGGGTGTCACTCATGGTGGCCCTCTTCTTGGCGGGGCTGGTCATCATTGCCAACATCTTTGTCTCCACAGGTGGGTGCAACGGAGTGCTGGGGGTCTTCTGCACTGCTCTGTCCAGCCACCCACGCTCTCATCTCTCCATCCATCTCTCCATCCATCCCACCACCCGCCCATCCAGCCCCCCACTCACTCACCCACAGTACAGTTGAGGTTGGACGGGACCTCTGGAGGTCGTCTGGTCCAGCCCTCCCGCTCAAGCAGGGCCACCTAGAGCTGAAGTCTATGTCCCGACGGCTTCTGAGTGTCGCCAAGGATGGCGGCTCACCATCTCACCACCCACTTCCCCGTCCATCCGTCTGTCCGTCCATCCGTCCATCCTCCACGTCTCCATCCATCCATCCCGTTGCCTATCTGGCTATCCGTCTATCCATCCCTACGTCCTTCCTTCCTTCTCCTTCCCACCATCACCCCAGCCCCGAGGTGGCTCCTGCCTGAAGGCAGAGTCCACCCCGTCCCTCTCTCTGCCCCAGAGCTGCAGACGGTGCGCACGGCGCTGGCCGTCATCGGCAAGGGTTGCCTCTCCGCCTCCTTCAACTGCGTCTTCCTCTACACCACCGAGCTCTACCCCACTCCCATCAGGTAAAACCCCGTCCCCACGACCCCACGGTGGGGCAGGTCCCCCGTCACCCGCCCGTGACACCCCCAAGGTGGTCCCTGCCCCGTGTTGACCCCCCTCCGGCGCCGGCAGGCAGACCGGGCTGGGCTTTGGCAGCACCATGGCCCGAGTGGGCGGCATCGTGGCGCCGCTGGTGAAGATGATGGATGAGTACTACCCCTTCTTGCCCCCTGCTGTCTATGGGGTGGCCCCCGTGGTGGCGGCTGGGGC